CCGGACTCGGCTCTAGAAAGACCTCTTCCTCACCTGCCGGCGTAGGTGGTCTGGGTTGCCAACGAACATCAGAAACTGCCGGTAGAAACTCTCCGCCAGGTTGCTCAGCCTGGACACCTTCTCCTCGGCGAAGACCTCCCGCAGCTGCTGCTGGACGTTGACACTCTGCTTCCCGGCGCTGGTCACCGCGTCGAGGATGATCGAGAGGAACAGGGCCACCAGGCCGGCAGCTTGGGGGATGGCGGTCAACCCCCCAAGGGTGGTGATGGCCGTCGAGACGTACTTCCCCGCGTTTCCCTCCAGCGCCGCCTTGATGTTCTCGTGGTGGTTCACCAGGGCAGCGTGGGAGCCCACCCCCAGGTAGACCTGCATGTTCTGGCTCAGACCCACATCGGGCAGGGCGGAGTAACCCGATACCCAGTTGAAGAGGTTTTCCGCTGAGGTGTCCACGTACTTCTCTGTGCACTGGTTGCCTCCCATGTCTGGAGAAACAAAGACCTGGCCAAGCGGGACAGGCTGAGGGAAAACGTGCTGCGGCTCTGGACTGCTGTGCTCCTCTCTCTCTCACTGCAGAGCATAAATAGCAAGATGGCCCATCAGCCAGTCTGTCTCCACTCCCCCTCTCCCTGCCCCTCCTCCTCCTCTGACTTTTTAGGGTGCATGACCGGCTGTCGAACAGTCAACGTGTCCATATTGATGTCTCTCTTCCTCCTTGCTCGCTGTCAGGCAAACACTCCTCTGTGCGCGCACACACATACACACACACACAGAGAGACAGACACACACACACACAGAGACACAGAGACACACACACACAGAGACACACACATACAGACACACTTGTCCTCACTGGCACGCAGTGTAACCGTGTGGTTTCATGGGGCCAGACAGTGATGGGAATATGACCAGCAGTCTGCCCTCCCAGCGAAGTGACTTTCCAAGGCCCTGATCCTGATTGTCCTCCCAGGAGGAAGAAAGATGCCTCTTCATCCTCTTTTGAGCTATGAGTCCTGAGCCTTCACAACCAATACACTCCCGTGGCTACAGTACAGTATATCACAGAAACTAGAAGTCGGTACTATGTATAGAGAAATATACAACAGAATCTGAACTACACTACAGAGGTATATGACAGAATGTGCACTATACTACAGGACTACGATTCTGTAACTGTATTTCTTGGTGATTTGTTTTAATTAGACAGTGATGCATGTTTTTTTGTCAGCAGTGTTAGAATCAAGCTCAGCTGCTGTTTTCCCGTGTCTCTGATTTGGTTTCTGAATGAAATAGAGACTCTGTTTTTTTGTTATCTTGCATGCTTCTTTCTCTTGTGTTTCAGCAGAGACTGCCCAGCACTTCCAGTGGGTGATGCGCAAGGCCCTGCTTTTCAGAAACTGGTAGAAATGGGAAAGGCAGGTCTTTTGGTTACATTTCACACATTTAGACTGGAACTGAAAACAAAGCTTTATCTGTCTGCAGCCCGACTGTGTCTCAGGCTGTGACAGAGTGAACCCCAGGGGTACCTGTGTGAGAGCCCTCACTGTGTGTTTCTCAGGCTGGAGGGTCACAGCGATCTCTCTCATCTCTTCTTAAAATCTCCAACAGCTTGCTATCAAAACCTCCACAGTGATCTGTGACACAGGGACACTGACACAGAAAATACAAATTTGCAAATATCGATCCCATCCTCCTTCCAGAGGTGACTGACACACTGGAGATAAACCACCTGCTCATTGCATAACGTTCCAGCTGCTGAACCTGCACTTTCAGGGCTCTGGTGTTTGCTCAAGCTCAGGTCTGCTTTATCTCTGAATCTACCCCCTTTGAAATCCAATGGGTCAGAGTCTCTTCAGGGCTTTCGAAGTGGGTGGATTCCTGTACTGTTTTTATACTGTGTATAATAATTTACACAGGAAAATCACAGGTCTCCAGTGAGTGCAGAAAGCTCGCAGGACTCTGTTTTCTGGTCACTGTCACTGTTACTGTGCATTCTGGCCTGGCTGTGCTATGGGGATGTTCTGTGCGCTCCAGTGGGCTTCAGTGTGCTCCAATGTGCTCCAATGTGCTCCAATGTGCCCCAGTGTGCTCCAATGTGCTCCAATGTGCTCCCGTGAGCTCCCGTGTCCTTCAGTGTGCTCTAGTGTGC